GGTTTAGAAATCGGAATTGGCTGAACATGTGGTCGCTACAGGGCACCATATAGAGTGGTCTAAATCCCAAAGTTTTTCTGGTCATGGGGACTTCACAGCTAAGCGGAACATGAGGTAGAGAGACGATTGAAATGTACAAAACAAAGAACATTCCAAATGAGAGCAACGAATGGAGGAAACTAAGTAAGAAATATTCCTGGCTGCTCATTAGAAATAGAGAGAAAGAGAAAGAAGGCAAGGAAACAGGAAGAGCTATTTAGTAAGAGGAGAAGATTTGACAAAGCTGAAGTCTGGTTTCGGACTTTAAATTGTCAACCAACTCGTAAGTGTTGCATACAAACACTAAAATGCATTCACGAAGTCAAAACAAGCCCTAGGATTACAGGCAAATACGCTAGTTTATTTACATACAGAAAAGGTGTGAGCAAGTCCACTCCTCTTCCCACATCACTTTCACTCGCTTACATGAATGTAGGACAAGGATAAAACAGAACATCCAACCAAATCATGGAATGGCTCCTTAAGAAGACCCAGTATCTCCTTGTCATAGTGTTAACAAGAGTCTTTTGCAAGAATGAGTTCCAGCTCTGATGATGCCCATCATATGATGGACGATATCTCAGCCCGTTTTACCCGAAGTGAGGGATAATGTCTCGTGGACTGCGTTAACCTGAATGTCGTATTAAAAGCCAAACGGCTGCAGTACAACGGAATTCACTTGTCGTCTTCTGGTGAGATCAACCTACGAATCTCTTCTTCATACACTTTCATGTCCCCAACAATGTTATCTCAGGAGGATCATCGAAACCCAGTTACTCTGCGTAGCTACAGTAAAATCTCAGCCAGCCACTTTTCTTGGATTAGTGCTTTCTGGTGATTGTGGCATGACTTTACATTTCGAAGGAAAAATCGGTTGGACGGAATTCGTGATGTGGTCTCATCGGAAACCGAAGGAGCGTTGCCGCGTAGGGAAGACTTTTGAATTGTTCGGGGAAGTCCTTGGTTTACCGTCCTGCGACCTCGATGAAACGGTGAGCCAGGGACATCCTTGCACAATTCAACAGTCTTCCCTACGCAGCAATGCTCATTCGGTTTCCGATGAGAGCACATCACAAATTCTTTCCAATCAACTTTCCCTTCGAAATGGAGAGTCATGTCACAATATATCACAGAATAATTCTTCGAAACACAACTTCTCTTCATAGATCAAAAGACTATCAGCCCATTTACTAGTACGCACGTTGCGCCAGAAGAGGAATTTTATTTCCGATACATATTCGCTGCAAATGTGATATTTTTTTGAAATTCATTTATTAGAAAAATGATTAAAATGGCAATTCTCATAATGCCTTTAATTATTCTTAATCGAGAAATGATATTTGTCACTAAGGTGGGTTTCTGATCGCATTTCGCACCGCTTAATTATTTCTCTAAAGATAGATTTTTCTATTTTCATAAAATTAAACTGAATAAAGAGTGATATTATACATAAATGTGCAATTACAAGTGAGCGAAAGGGTAATAAGTGCTATTTGATAAAAGTATATTATAATAAAAATTAGCCGAGTGCCTAACTTAAACCATACATTATTTTATATAACCTCTGATAGCCACTGTTATTTTGTGTTGCCCCAGATTTTAGTACCCTGTTCGGTAATCCAGAAAATTAAAAAAGAATATAAAGTTAGACTGACCAGAAACTGAAATGAATTATTTTATTATCGGCAACTTAAGGGCAAGCATATGCAATCAGTGAGATGGAAAACCTGAGCTAAGAAGCAGAAAAGTCACGTTCTTTACTGAAAATAGACCACAAAAACATTCGACTGACATAAATGTTCCCCAGCAGCATGCCTGTCTTGTGAATATAAAACAAATTAACTGACTCATTCCGTGTTGAGGCAATAAGACGACTTGCACGAGTGGGTATAGTGCGTTTGAGGTGAATGCTGTTAATCCCAAAATAACCATTCAAAAGGAAATAGAAAAGCTGCGAACTGGCAATTTCTCTAGAGTCTCATGGATTATCCTTCTAGTGAAGATAGTGCTTCTTCCATCAAGCGAAGACTACAAGAGTTATGAATGCCCGCCAGAAGAGTACAGCTACTGAGGCGAAGCAAATCCTACCGCCACCTCAAGCGCACATAATGAGACAATTTTGTTTCAGTTCTGATGGCCCGTAGACGCAGAAACAGACAAGACGACCTCTGGTATTTGTCTGTAAGCATTATACTTTGCTAGGGTACATAATGCCTATCTCGATTAATAAAAAATGCATTTGTCATTTAATTGTTTGTAAGATTTTGAAAAGCATTCAAATTAAGGCGCAGCAACAAATCAGCGCCGGCTCTGGGCCCAATCGAGAAGCATTTTGTGATTTCGTAGACGAATAAGTTGAGATTTAAAATGAAGTATATTAAATTATATTGATTGAATAGCTACGATTAATTAACCTTTCGCCCAGTAATTTATTAGCAATTAAATTGATAAAATACTGAGGAAGTCAATCCATCGCAACGGTAGTTAACTTTTCCCGAATTTCGCTTGTTTAGCATCATCATTTCATGTTTACCGGTGCCCATAACATTTATTCATTGCGAGCTTAATCATTTAATTCACTTTTGTGCTACTAAACGTCGATACTCGACGTCTAATAATGTTGATTAGGTCAATCCTCAATTTTATGTTCTAGAAATGTTTAGGAACCGTGTAAGGCGATATGAAGCTTTAATGTAGCCAAGCACTTTGCTTAAGGGCCACCTACACTTTTACTTTGCTCAAAGTTTGGGCATTGCAAGTCCCATGTTGGTTTATGTTGAGCCAGATGTATACCAAATGATCGTTCCTTCAGATCCGCTCACATGTTGTGAAGTGGAATCTCTCGAAACCCTCGTCACTGTAGATCTCGTTGGTGATCCAAAGATCCGTTTTTTACAAGCCTGGCGGCTTTGCAGTTTATTGGCGGTAGTGTATTGCCACTCGACGCTATCGGCCGTTTTGAGTTCATTTTGGGTTGCTGACGTGACTTAGCCGAGATAAAGTTTGCCATTTAGAATGAGTGGAGTTCACTCGCGAAACGGAGTATTTCTTTATAAGCCATGCAATTGTGAGGATTTGCATCAAGAAAGCAGTAATATTAGTAATATTTAACATAAATAGAAATTAACCGTTTGAATTTATTTGCGCCTGGCCGATAAATGATGCTTCGAACGCAATAACTTAATTAATTAAGGTATATAAAATTAAAATTGTAATACTTTATATGCATGCCAAAAAGAAAATAGACAATTTAGGAGATTTCACTTTCGTGCGTTTTCTCTTATTGGCATGAAAACCTCATAATAGGCTGAATATTCATTTAGCTGAGGCACAAAAAATAGACTTTTATGTGAGACAATTCCCAATTAGCATACATAAAGACATCGATACGTCCTGATCTGCGTACAGAACTCAACTTCCAAGCTTACCTCACTGCTCATTATATGTTGTATGCTTTTTCTGTCCTCAAAAGTTTCAACTATTTTAAGGCCATGCCAAATGGCAAGCCTTCATACCCTTTGGAAAATAAGAAAGACTGTAATTTTATTTTTTATTTTTTTATTTTTTTATTTTTATCCAGGTCAGTAGAAATGCGCAAATCACCTGCCGTGTAAATAAAATCAAAACTGTGTGCTATATCGATAGGTTTAGGGAAAAATTTATGACAATTATTGTAAAAAAGGCTATCACAAAGAGTTCATGGAACTAGGGAGTTAACTGGTTTATAAATGTACCAATTCAATTGTCCGATGCAGGAAATTATCATCAATACTCTGGCCAAGGACGCAGAACGAGATAAGTTCCGAAAGGTCTTGCTGTCGCTGCGACCAAGTTGCGAAAACGAGATCAAAACAACGCTAGACAGCTAAAGGAGATTACGACACCATCTTGGTCTTCATATTTACGACACTTACTTTTGTTGATTCCTAGTCTACGAATTAACAATGAAGAAGTGATTATTTGGAAATCACTATTGCTACTACTAATATTCTAAAATGAATGTGGGTTATAGACAAAATAGGACTCTAATTCTACCTAATTCAGCAACTCGAGATCCACACCAAACTGATCAAAAAATACCTCGTAAGTTTGAGTATAGCCTGGAAACTAAAGACGAGGTAGAAAAGTCTTAATTTTAGAAGAGCAAGCCAAATTAATCTTTAGGCAAATGTGAATAAACAGAATATTTGCATAAAGATATGAAGACCAAGATTGAATTGATTTTTGTTTGCACACAAATTGTACACTATTCGAGGTGCTAGGCTAAATATATATATGTTCATATCAATTTCATCAGGTTGTGGAAACCGAGCTGAGGAGCAAGATATCAGTTGCACCCCTGTGAGTGTGTTTGCGTGTGTGTATTTTTCGTGTGTGTTCTTTTAGTGAGAGATAACTGGTGACAAGCCTGACTAGGGAGATTACCAACCAACATACATATGCCATACGGACTAGGAGCCTAGGATGACAAAAGGAGTATGTTTCACGTGATTGTGAAGTGGAGAAGATGAGCGATCAATCCTCACATCAACGGTTCCAAATCAAGCCAGACACATGGCCGCAGAGAATGAGAGAAAATGGCGTGGGGATGAGAAAGAGGATAACATGGTCATGGGTCTGAAGTTTAGGGAAGAGAAAATTCCTAGACATGAGAATCATAGGTCTAACATCCCAGAATATGTCGTAAACGGGGACCGGAATTGAAGGCTCATCGGCAGCCAGATTTAAGACAGCCAGACAATGATTTTCGTGGGCGTCAGGGTACAACTGACAAGCGGAGTGAAGAGGGGCTAAATGGAAGCAAAAAGTCTTACAAACGGTATCTGATACCGGTAGTGAAGGTGAATATGCTTCATTAAATCCCCTTAAAGCCACACACTTTTAGGCAAAACGGGAAAAAACGAGAACACAAAATGTTATGGGTATGAAGACCAAGATGGTGCGACCCTTTGTTTGGTCGCAGTCTCCTTTAGCTGTGGAGTGTTGGTTTGACCCTGTCTTCGCAAATTGGTCGAAGTGACAGGGAGACCTG